CGCTCGCGCAGCGTTCAATTGAAAAAAATAGTAGTAGTAGTAGTAGTAGTAGTAGTAGTACTAGCAGTACCAGTACTAGTAGTAGTGATAGTAGTGGTAGTCGTAGTAGTTGTAGTAGTAGTCGTCGTCGCGTAGTCGCAGTCGTAGTAGTAGTGGTAGTAGTAGTAGTAGTTGTAGTTGTTGTTGTGGAGTAGTAGTAGTAGTAGTAGAAGTAGTAGTAGTTGCGAACGGACTGCGATGCCTTGTCAAGTTCTAAGGTGTCACTATAAGAGCTGTGAGCAAGACCGTGTAAAGTGCAAGGGAAGGGGGCACGCTACGCGTCCCTCGTCTCTAGGAGTAGGCTTGTGGTAGTGCTACGCACACCGCAATGCCTATCCATCCTTTCAGTATGACCGCCCATGCAACATTTGGCTCAAGAATGAGCACAAGCTCTAGAAAGCATTGCCCATAGCTAAAGTTAAAGTGCTATAGTCATATAGTCTTCTGTGATTCTCCGAGTGGACAGAGCTATCCCGTGCACAGACGATCCACCGCCGGCCGTGAGTGTGCAAAACGAGCGAACGTCGGATCTGCCTGCGTAGGAGTGCGTGTGTGGAAGTGGAAGTAACAGTGATCCAGTCTGTAGAGGGCAACCACGCCAACAGTCAATATAGCTCTTTGTGGGGTGAGCGACAGAGAACATCACCAAGATCAAATCCCCACGCAGGTTATCAGCCGTACGCGGCTCTGCCTTTCTGCAGCAAAGACTACTTGATCTACTACGACCACAATGAACTCGGGATCAAGTCAAGATACGACAATGACTTTCGGTGCCGACGTGGCAGCGCCAGCCGTTGGTGAGTCAACAGCTGATGACACAGTGGTGCAATCCGTTGATAGCTCCACGGAAGATGACAAAGGTCAATCTTCTGCGCTTGCCATTGCAAAGGCAGTTCCCAAAGCAAAAGCAAAGAGTCTACCAAGAGCATCTACGCCTTCGCGTCCAACATCCACAGGTTCGAGGACGAGCAAGGCTCCAGAACGACGATCCGAAGCGTCTGGTTTTCAGGCACCTCGGACCCCGTCGAGGGCAAAGGACAAGGGAGTGAAGACTTTGGAAAAGAAGCCGCGACCATCATCTTCGAGAAGCTCTTCAGCACGATCAAGGACTTCGGCCACTCGTGGACGTGACAAGTCCATGACATGGAACCGAATGGTTACCAATCAACCACGCGAAGCTGACGATCTGGATATGACTCTGGACACGATTCCTGCACGGGGTGACGCTTCGTCGGTGACTACACCAGCCATAGCCGATGGTCCGAATGCCTACCAGGGATTGACAATTCCGCAACAGTTTGAAGCATCGAATCTTGCACAGCAGATGTACTATCGCAGTCAAGTGCAGGAGTACGAAGGTGTTGTCCAGACCCTGATGGAGAAGATCAAGGAGATGCAACAAGAAGATGAAGGATCTGGGATTCGCATCGAAGAATTGGAACGACAACGTGACCATGCATGCTTAGCCATGAGGCACATCAACAATGTCAATCAGGAAATGAAGCGAGACTATGAAACAGCTTTGTTTCGCATGGATGAGCAGAACTCTGCTCAACAACGTCAAGCACACGCCGTTGCCGAGGAACTGGCTCAACAGCTACATGTGTTTCGCACGGAAGCAGCCACTAACTTTGTGCAGTTGGAGGCAAGAGCGCAGGGCGATGGTGAGCTTATGGCACGTGAGTATGAGCATCTGACTCATGAACTTCATGAACAAGCCAGAGAGAACTTGTTCCTCCGGTCGAACACAGCAAGTTCGGAACAAGCCTTGCAAGCAATGCAGGAACGATTCCACCTGGTCAGGAATCAGGAATTGCGAGCCATAAACGAGATTCAAGGGCTAGCTGGAAACAGCGCAGCCATTGATCAAGAGCGACTTCGGCTTCGCGAACGTCTTGGTGAGGAGGAAGAGTACCGCAAAATGGCTGTGAGGAGGATGCAAGATGCAGAGGACCGACTCCATCAAAATGAGGATCATGCAAGGCGCGCATTGCCTACCTTGCACGACGAGCTGAGTGAACTCAGGAAAACGCTCAAAGCACAAGAAGATCTTCAAGCGAGGACAAGCAGCGAATTGGAGGCAGCACGGAACTCCAACTACCATGGCGGAGTGACACGGCCTTCGAGCATGCCCATGTCTTCGAGGATTACTGAGTCTGGCTGGGAGCACGTAGGAAAGGACGTAGTGCCTGCATTTTCCGTAGGAGGTGAGGTGCGATCCCCTGAAATACGGTCCCCAAGTCAAATTAGTCCAGTCGCCAAAGAGAAGTTCGCATTCTCAGAATCGGACAAGGACAAGAACCTTGCGATGGATGGCGTTCCATTTACCGGTGGAAACTTCTTCACTGGCAACATCAAAGGTGAGGCAAATAAATCCTATGCAACGCCAATCGTGGCGGATGCACTGCCCGAGCACCACGTGCCAGGCAATAGCAGTCCAGCACATGCGCGTTCCACGCCTAGTGCAGCCACTCTGTTTGGCATACCAAGCGGATTTCATGGACAAAGTGATGCGGCTGTACGTGACCGACAGCTACGTGAACTCCTGGAGGATCGCGGGATGTTGGGATCAAAGTCCACAGCATCTGCCAGCTCGTCAAGACCTGTTGGTATCGACGGCATTATCGCATCTATGAGGGACAACGATCTCAATGTTGCCCCAAGGGCTACCCCTGTCACCTACGATGCTTCCATCCATGAGGCAAGGAGACGTCAGATCGAGAAAGAGATCGCGGAGCAGTACGAAGAGAAGATTGCTGATCTGCGAAGCGAAGTACTCAAGGCGCAGAAAGCCGAACAACGTCTCAGAGCTGATCGTGATGAGTGGAGATTATTCGCTGAAACGATGCAGGAAGACAATGGAGACGATGACGGTGATGAAGCTGGCGATGAGAACGAAGATGGAGAGCAAGATGAAGGCGCCGGCACAAGGTATGATCCTCCAGATCCGCCGGATGATGACGGTGATGATAAGAAGAAGGACAGTGGAGGCAAACCTGAACCGGATCCTGACCCTCATGCGCGTGATCCTGACGGAGACGCAGATCCTGAGGTCACGGAGGTGAGAATTTCCAGGAGAGAGGCCGATAAAGTGACGGTCCCTCCATGGCCTGTTCTCACTCACCTGAACAATTGGCGGTCAGTATGCACGGCGAATGTTCTAGGAGCGTCAGCCGACCCAAATCATGAGGACTGGATGTTGTGGCTGGCACCAGCTTTCAATCCATTCCCTGATGTCGAAGCACTGAACGATTCAGGACACAAGAAGTTCAAGAGCATAGACGTCAAATTGGGAGTCGCCATGGTTGCAATGCTACGCGCTGGTGGTGACAAATCTGCTGATCTGTACCTGGAGGTGAACCGGAAGGCCAATGATTACATCAGCAGGCCCGAAGGGAAGATCATCAAAGGACGACAAATCATTGCGATGATGTATGAAAGTTTTCGAACGCATGACCGTCTCGACATGATCATCACTCTCGAGTACTTGGTGAAGCTCCAGTACCAAGGCGGCAACAAACTTCATACGTTCAAGCAGACATGGTTGGAAGTTCTTGGACGGATGAGACCAGAGGACATACCATCCAAGACAGCTCTCCGTGATTGCTTGCACAGCAAGATCAAGGACTCGCCCGCAATGAAGATGGATTTGGGCATGCATTATGACCACTTGCCCTGCAACCACGAAGATCGATCGTACGACAATCTGATGAAGATCATCGATCGCACCATCATGCGGAGACGAGAACAATCAAATCTCACTCAGACTCAAATTGGTTTGCGCCAGATGCTTGAGGGAAAGGATTTGCTTGCTGCACCGGCCAAGGTGCCTGAGAAGCCAACGCCTAATGCAGCTCCATCCGCAAAGGTCAAGGCATCGCCTACCAAGCCGGATAAAGCAACACCTGTGCTACCTCAGAGCAAGGCGAAGAGTCATGCGAAGACCAAGCCAAAGCCCAAGAAGAAGACGAGGAGTGAGTCGGCGGACAACAGAGGCGACAAGAGCAAGAAGCAAATCTGCTGCAAGTTCCATTTCACAGATGCAGCGTGTCGACAAGTGCCCATTCAGTCACTCGAAGAAGACTCCAGAGCGACCCTTTACGCCGAGGACGAGAACTCCAAGTCCATCTGGAGGAGGAGGAAATAGGATATGCTACTCTTTCAAGAACACAGGCTCGTGCTCAAGAGAGAATTGTCCTTTCAAGCATGAGGCCGCAGCTACCCCAGCACCGGAGCCAAAGGCGAAAGCCAAAGCCAAATCCGAAGCGAAGGCAGCTCCAGCGAAACCGAATGCTAAGGCCAAGGCACTCCCTGCGGCACCCGCCATTAGATTGTGCCGAAGGTGGAATCCATCAGCCCCGGCTATATGGAGGCGATCTTCAAGACAGGATGAGGAAGAGTCAGATTGTTCATCCGTTGACAGCGACGCTGACTCGGATTGTTCAACCGACGACGAATCCTCGGGACCGACTACGTCGACCCGAAAAGAGATCAAACGCAACGTGACATTCGCTGACGATGCCCTGTTTGGGCAGTGAAACGTACCAAACGAATTGTTCCCTGGAGGCTTGGGGGGGTGGGGGGGATGGCAGGGGCGCGGCGATTCTATCAGATGTACGCCCGGCCACTGCGGCCTCGGTCCACAGCCTTGCGGTCATGTTGTCATGCAGCCTCCAGCTCTGTCAGTTGCGCTTTTGTTCAGTCATGTCAGTCATGTCAGTGCTTACATGTTCTTCAGTCTCTTTTAGGCATGTCAGTTTTAAGGCTTTTTCAGATGGCCGTTTTCTTTGGGCCATAAAACCTTTTCAGTTTTTATCTTTGACTTTTCAAACCATCTCTGGAGAGATTTGCGGAATCCGATCTTTGCATCCGATACATTGCGGACCAATCGGGAGGGGATCTTAGAAATTTTAGTTACGGGGGGGCGCCTTTCAGGCTTCTTCGCGCAATGGCATTATATGATGGAGGATAGGCTCTGGAATCTTCTTGAAGATACCGGCTGCACTTGCGTGAGGGAGCTGCGTTTGCATTTTCAGACTCCTTGGCACCTGGCCTGCTCAGTGGACAGCTTAGAGGATTCAGTGGTCCTTGCCGAGCAGATCATTCCGTCTGCCTTGCCCTCAGACCATAAGAGAGCTGGCGCGCTTATCTGGGGCTGGCTACGTGATCATACTGACTTGTTGAAGCGGGTGCAAGGTAGGCTAAAGACGAAGGCTACAAGGATTGTGGCGCCTCCTTGTGGTGATGTTTCTCCTGGTGAGGTTTATGCACAATTGGTGAGCGGCAGCCTTGAGTTAACGAAGCAGACCAGTCGGGCTCATGCGAGATGGATCTCGAGTGGTGCTGGCACGCCAGCTGATGCTGAGAAGGCTGCTAGAAAGTTCTGGGGTACAGTCTTGGTGCAAATTATGGTGGAGGCTAAGCTTCCCATCGTGGACATTCCTGTTGAAAGTGAGGAACAGAGGGTACTGTATGCTTTGAGGGCTTTGGGTACCCGTCGTTCGAAGACTTTGAGGAATCGGGCTCGAGCCTGGCGCAAGGCTCGGGACTGGATGCTTTCTGTGAAGTCTGTTGTGTTTCCGCGGCGTCCGAGTGACGTTGTGGACTATCTCCTCTTCTTGGAGCAAGAGGTGGGTACCAAGAGCTGTATTTCTGAGTTTATGAGCTCCCTATCTGTCCTGGAGGATGCAGGGCAGGTTCCTTTGGCAAACCAGTTGTGCAAGGACAGATTGGTGGTTGCTGCCTCAAAAGGATCAGAGGCAGAAGTTCATGTGGGGGTCACGAGCAAAAAGCAGGCGGCCCCTTTGTCAGTGGCAATGTTGCTTTCTTTGGAGATCTTTGTGGTATCCAGCGGCAATCCATTATATGCTAGATGCCTCATGTGGGCCTGTCTGGTGTGCGTCTGGGCTTGCATGCGTGTGTCCGATCTGCAAGGAATCGACGTTTCTAGGCTTAGGCTTTTTCGTGATGGGCTTAAGGGCTTCCTAGTCAAAACCAAGACGACCGGTCCTGACAAGAAGGTGGCTGAGGTTCCCTTCTTTGTGGGCCGGGATGTGGGGTTGTCTGGTCGTGATTGGCTGCTCGCGGGTTTCGACCTGTGGAAGGGCCTGGGACAGCTGGACAGGACTTTCTTGGTTTTTCAGTCATCCGAAGATTTTGAGGAGCCGATCTTCAAGTTTGCAAAACCGGAGGTCATCAGCAACTACATGCGTTTGATCTGGCGGCAGCTGAGAGTTCCGTTTCGCAAGGTTGGTGAACACGTGTGGAAATCGAGAGCTGAGGGGGTCCTCCTTGGTGACGAATGTTATCTGTTCTGGACGGGCCATAGCATGCGTCATGTTCTTCCAACCATTGCTGCTGTTCTGGAGGTTCCGAAGGAACGGCGCGATTACTTAGGTCGCTGGCACATTGGGTTGCATCAGAGCTCGGATTACATTCACACCTGCCGTCAGATTGTGCATGACATTCAGCGCCGTGTGTGCGACAAGTTGTCTGGTGGTAAACCCGGGTACGATGAGGAGGAGCTGTTTGAGGAGCTGCGCGAGTGGCTCCTCAATCGGGGTTCGGATCCTGATCCGTGGTTGAAGCTTCATTCTGTGATGCGCACTGTGTCTGGCTGCAAGGTATTGAATCAGATTTGGCCTTTATTGGCCGACTTCACCGACGGGACGGACAACGCTGCCCCGGCCCCGCCGGTTTCGAACTTATCCTCGGCTGACAAGGAATCTCCTTTCTGGGTGAGCATCAGCAGGCATTCGGGTCACCGTCGGCTTCACATTAGGAATGGCTGCTGGGTCACTCCGAGCAGTTGCCATCGCTTCGCCGAGGTTTGGGAAGCCGGACCGAATGTTGCTGATAGCTTTTGTAAGCTCTGTTATAAGGAGAAAGCGGATCCGTCCTCGAGTTCGGGGGAGTCTTCGTCGACCGAGCTTGGGGAGCCGGCTGAGGATAGCGGGCTTCCGACTTGAGTTTTCACATCTGAGATCAGACTGTCAGATTCGCGTGTCAGGGCAAAGGTGAGTCAGTTTGCCTCTTGTGCTTTCAGTGCCTTTGCGCCGCGTGCTGTCAGTGCTATCAGTTGCAGTTGCGAGAGCAAATCAGATGCGTGAAATGGGCAGTTTTCTGCTCAGTACTTCACGTGTTGAATCTCAGACGACGTGGTGTTGCAAACCACTTTCAGACTTTCGGTGCTCCTTTGGGGGCTATCAGATTTCAGTCTTTCAGTGCTGTCAGTCTCTTAGCTTTGCGCGACCCGGGGCGGCAATGGCGGCCGATCCTGCGGCACAGCGTCAGTTCTTGAAAGATAACGTCGATGCTGACTTTATCTTCCTTCTGGAAGAGCATGGTGTTGACTTAGCGTTGCAGTATGCCATTGGTCAGCACTACAAAAGCATCAGGACGTTTGCTGCTTTTGCCGATGATAGGGGGGCGGCTCGGACGGCCATCACTTCTGACTTCGGCGTTCGAGCTGAGAGTGCTGCGGATCGTGCTCGGATGGCATGTGTCATCACTTCTTGGGAAGCTGCAAAATTGATTCGCGAGGAGGAAGCCAAGCTTCGTGCTGAGGCTAAGGTGTTGGGTGTCCAGAAGCCCCTCGTCTCGTCCGATCGAGCGGCTATGCGTGCTGCCTTGGAGACGGTAAGGGGTTACTCTGTTCCGGAATCTGAGGAGCCTGCACCTGAGTATCTCGCACACAAGCTTGAGCAGATTGAGAATGGCGAGCCTACCGCTAGTTATCTTGATGAGGTGATTTCGCGTAAGGAGTCCAACTCTTTGCAGCTTCAAACTTCACTGGACAATCAGGGCCGCCTTCGGGTTATGCGCCAGAAGCCCAAGGGAAAACTCCCGCAGAACACGGAGGAGCTCCGGGCGAAGATCAGGCTCGAGGCTTCAACTTGGGTGATGTTGGCCGCGAAATGCCGTGGTCGTGCTTATTTGCAGGGATTGCAGTTGTCACATTTTGATCGTTTCTTAGAATATCTTCTGGGAGACAAGTGCTACAGCATGCAAGTCGCATCGGCGGCTCCCATGAGTTCTTCTGCACATGCTGATCGTCACACTTTGTCTGTGCCCTGGAATATCTTGCTTCAGTATGAGTTTGAGCTTCGCAAATGGGCTATCAAGGAGGCGCATCGTTCGAGTGCTCCGCTGGGGGACAAGCTGCATGAGGCGACCACCAACACCGAGCTCAAGGAGCTCCATTTTACGTCACAGGTGGCATTGTCTCGACGCTCGGGCGGCGCCGACCCTCCCCCGCCAAAGTGGCCTCGCAAAGGTGACGGCAAGAAGGGGGACAAGGGCGGCAAGGACAAAGGTGGCAAGGATGGAAAGGGCAAGGCCGATGGCAAGATCAAAATCGGCGAGTCATGGTTCGATCTGGTGTCAAAGACGCCGGATGGGCGTGAGTTGTGCTACGCTTACAACATAAAGCGTGGGTGTCAGGTCAAGGGCTGTCAGCGAGTTCACGCGTGCAGAGTCAAGGGTTGCCAGGCGAACCACCCGGCATACCAGCATGGCGCGCAGGGCGGCTCCTGACTTCGTCGTGACGCTTTTAATTCAGTTTCGGATTCCACTTCGGGTGTGCGCCCTTCGCTGCGGGTCCTCTACTTGTTTTCTGGTCCCACTCGAAAGGCGGATGTTCGCGCCTGGCTGGAGGTCTTATGCACGTCACAGAACATCCTTTTGGAGATGTCCGAAGTCGACATCTGCCGTGACCCAAGTATGGATCTGTTGGACTCTGCAGTGGCTGATCGGTGCTTGCTTCAAGTCCAAAATTCGGAATGGGACGTGGTCTTGGTGACTCCGCCCTGCAATACCTTTTCTCGGGCACGATGCGTACAGCCGGGTCCTCGGCCACTGAGATCACGTATTTACCCCGCGGGTTTTCCTTGGCTTTCGGACTCACATCGTGCTGCAGCGGATAACGGCAATCAGTTCGTTTCTTTCTCTTTTCAGATTTGCACAGCTGCGCTTTCGAATTCTATTCCTTTTCTGTTGGAACACCCAGAAGACCTGGGTATGACAACCACCGGTCACACACCGGCATCTATCTGGCAACTTCCAGAAGCTGCTGCACTTTTTACGCACGAGCAGGTCGTGACTTTTGCGATCTATCAGTGCCACTACGGAGCCCACACACCTAAGCCCACCAGGTTTCTTTCTTCTATCACAGCCACATTTGGCATGCGATTCATGGGGCCTCCTCGTTTTGATTCTGCGGACAAATATCTGGGGCCTCTGCCCAAGTACTGTGGTCACCGACACTCCAATCGTCTTTTGGGTGCCGCCAACACTGCTGCTGCTGCCGCTTATCCGCCTGATTTATGCAAGGCTATCGCTTCCTGGACCTTCTCCGTCTTCGATGGGGGAGGAGGTGCACCCTCGGTGGCTACGGTTCCTGAATCTGCTCACTGCTTTCAGTTCCCGGCTAGGGAGGTTGAGGTTAGAGTGAATTCTTCACAAGCGGAGCAATTGGCTGCAGTTTGCTTGGGAAAGGGTCGGATCTCTCGGGATCAACTTCTCCGTCTTTCAGAGCTACTGCCGGATGAGGATCGAGTCAGGCAGTCCAGCAAAGAAGTCAGCGGCCAGCGATCTTTCACGACGGGCGCTTACACCCACCAAGACAAGGTGGGGCTCCGGCGCAACATTGATGTTTTCCCTTTGGCATCGGAGCTGCTGGCACGCCTCGTGTCTTGCGGTTTCCCTGATTGCGCCTTCACTTCATTAGCATTCTTTCGCGACCTTAAGCAGCCCCCCCATAAGGACACCACGAATGGTCCATTCAACAATTTGTTGCTGGCCTGTTCGGAATTTTCGGGAGGGGGCCTCTGGGTTCAGTTTGAGGGAGGTCCGGTTTCTCGTTTGATTAACGGCTCCTGGACCCCTGGACGCATACTGGAATGGGACGGGGGCAAGATTGTCTTCGATCCCCATGTCTGGCATTGCACTGAAGATTGGACGGGCTGCAGGCTGGTCTTGGCTGGATATACCATTGCGAACGAGGACCGGCTTTCTCCTGCCGACCGGGACAAACTTGGATCCATGTACTTCGAGCTTCCGGGCAAACGTAAGAGGGGATCTGCTGAGTTCTTGATCGACACGGAGGAGGTCACTACTGCACCTGAGCAGGATGACATTCCATTCAGTGAACTGAAGTCTGGTTGCGAAGGACCACCGATGGTGGGGGACTTTGCTGGGTCCTCGGATGAGTTCGTCGATGGGTTTGGTCGCTGCTCCCCTGGTCGATGGAAGCCATGCAACCGGGGCACGGCGATGTCCGCTGAAGCCTTGGACTTTGCGCAGCGCTTGAAAGAGAGGGTCAGGATGTTCGTCGTGGAATGTGTTCCGGACTTGGCGAAGTCGACTTTTCGTCTGGCGACGGGACACTGGAACGGGCCGCTCTTTGATCAGAGTCGCTTGGAAGAACTGAGGGAGGACTGGTTCAACATGCTGCCGGATCCCATCCGGGCTCGAGAGATGATTCCTCATCAACCCTTCTTCTTGAGGGCGATTGCTCAGACTCTTCGGATTCTTGGAGACCCAGACTATCGCATCATCGAGGAGGGGAAGTTCTGCTTCGTGAACGGTGTCGAGGTGGGGCACACGGCGCCATTGGGGCCAGTGCCGCAGGTGTTCCGGATCCGCAGAAAGGATCAGAAGTATGACGAGTCAACTTGGCAGCCGTTGATGCAGAACTACCGTGATGGGGCTGAAGTCGAGAAGGCCTTGGAGGAGGCTTTCACCAAAGAAGAGGCGGAAGGACGCATGTTCCCTCTTTCTTTGGCTGAGGCGAAAACACGCTTCCCTGGGCCTGCGCTTCGCATTGCCGCTCAAGCCGTGATTCCGAAACCTGACCATGAGTTCCGTGTGGTCCATGATGGGACCCACGGGGTTCACGTCAACAATGAGATTGTTATGCTTGACCGTCTTGAATCGCCTGGACCGAGAGAGATCTCTTCCATTCAGAAGCTGGGCATGGTGGCAGAAGAGAAAGTCTTGTTCGGGCTCGTGGGAGACGTGAAGAAGGCGCACAGGCGATATTTGCACCATCCAGAGCATTGGGGGGTGCTCGCTTGTAGGACGAGGAGCGATTCATCAGTTGTATGGCTTAACCGCACAGGAACTTTCGGAATTGCTTCGGCGGCCTATTGGTTCGCCCGCTTGATCGGTCTGGTGGGTCGCTTGTCTCTCAGAGTTATGCTTCAGGCTTTTGTTTTCATGCTTATATATGCAGACGACTTACACCTTCTCAGCGGCGGTTCGGATCGATGGCTCAACCTCTGGATGTCCCTTGCGCTTTTGTGTATGCAGGGTACACCCTTCTCGGAGAAGAAGTGGCGCGGGGGACTGCAGCTTGATTGGGTCGGTTACTGGATAGATTATGGCCGCTTTAAGCTTGGGATTTCGGAGAAGAGATGCCAATGGATCATTCGATCGATTGAGGGCATGGAGGGAGACGGCTGGCTCGTGGACGTTCGCCGTTTTCACGAACTCCATGGTCGGCTAGGCTTTATGTCGCAAATCCTGGTATGGATCAGACCCTTCCTTGCGCCGGGCTACGCATGGCTAGCGGTGGTCAGCAAAGGTGCTATCTTGGCACTGCCCAACTTGATCCGATGCACTCTGCGATTCATTCTTGATCGGCTCCGCGCGGGCTCACGAACGTATCCTGCGGGGCTGGCGGATAAGGATTATGGGGAGCTCTTCAGAACCGACGCTGCCTGCAACTCGGACTCGGTGGTGCTAGGCGGTTGGTTCCTTGTCAGGGGTGTTGTCTGTAAGTCCGCTCCTTGGTTTCAGATTACGCTTCGGCGTGAAGAAGCTCCTTGGCTCTTCAAGGAAGGGCTTGGGAGCTCCTGGGCCAGTACCTCTGCTGAACTGCTATCTTCACTCGTGGCGCTTTATCTGCTGGAGAGGGATTTTCCCGACGTGTTTTCATGTCCTGGTTCCTTTAGGGCCTGCTTTGCTG